ACCTCTCCCTTACCTGTATTTTCATTAAATCTCCACACCCAAAACTGGCTAAATTCTGAGTATAAGAGGCAGTATTATAACTGAACTCAAGTTCGTCTGCCCTGATGCCCAGCAAAGACCATCACTGAGATCCCAAGTATGTAGCAAGGAAAGGGTTTATTCCAGATGCAGCTAAACAAGAGGACAGGAAGGCAAGTCTCAAATCCACCTCGCCAAAGGAGAGTCAGGGAGATTTAAAGGAAAAGGAAGAGGTCTGGGCTTGTTAGTTTGCAACTGCAATTAGTCCCATTAACGCTTTGGTTACTGGTTTCAATCCCCACTGTCTTTTGGCCATTCCTCATTCTTAAGAGAATTGGGCCAATGACTTCTATTAGTTACTTCCTGCTGAGATGGGGGTGAAGATCAGGGTTAGAGGAATAGAACCTTTCTGCAGTCATCTAGAAATATTCCTTGGTTCCAGGTTGAAACCCAACATCCTGCATTACCAAGATTTTTGTACTTTGGTTATTAGTTCTTGTACAATATTTTATCTAGGTCTCAGGGGAGATTTGTTGTAACCAACTAGCTTGTTGTACTTATTGATTTCTTCAGACCAGCTCTCCTAAAAAGTAGTTTCAGGTCCATCAAAGGCTTGCCAGTCCAAGCAGGACTCTTTTTGATGTTCTTCTTGCTGACAAGATATAGGGAACCTGTAGATTTTTATTATTCAAGTGTGATGGATCCAAGGCTTAATTCCCTTTGGTTTCCCTGAAAAATGGGTAGTCAACAGCATCTCATTAAGGTCCTGTCTATGGTGGCTGGAGCTGGTCCTCCAGGTGCTTGTTCTTCCAGGTCTTTAATAACACCAAGTCTCCAGGATTCAGGTGGTATAAAGGCACATCAACCTCCTGGACGCGAATTTACATAGCGAATGTAGCTGATAGTATTCCCTAACGTGAGCCCCATCAGGAATTCCTAAGTCACGAAATGAGTATAGAAAGAGTCTTCCATATAACACCTCATAGGGGCTTAAACCAAGCTGACTTCTAGGGGCCACTCTACTCAAAGCAGAGAAGCTGGCAAGGCTTCTTCCCAAGTTAAGTTGGTTTCTTGGCATATTTTTGCCAAAGTTCATTTTTCCTATTTTCCAATCTGTTGGCTTCTCCAGGAGGCATAGAATTTCCATTGAATGCCCAAGGCACTCAACACTGCTTGTGTGATTTTTGCCCCAAATGCCACTCCATTGTTGCTCTGAATTGTTAGTGAGAATCCAAAACTAGGAATAATTTTGCTTAAAAGTATTTTTGAAAAATTCTGATGAGGCCTTCTCTGAAAGGCATGGAAGTTTCAACCCAACTTATAGGGCTGTCTACAAATACTAACAAATATCAAAAACTACCTGCTATTGGGCACATAGGTGGTTCAGTCAGTTAAGCGTCTGACTCTTGATATCTGTTCAGGTCATGATCTCAGGGTCATGGGATTGAGCCCCAATTGGACTCTGTGCTGAGCATGGAGCCTGCTTGGGATTCTCACCCTCCCTTTCTCTCTGCCCCTCCCCAGTGCAGGCATGCTTGCATGCATGCTCTCTCTCTCTCCCTCTCTCACTCAAATTAAATAACCATTTAAAAGTAATAATAATAATAAAAACTGGGTGGCTCAGTCAGTTAAGCATCTGACTCTTGATCTAGGTTTATGAGTTTGAGACCCACATTGGGCTCTGTGCTGACAGCAGGGATTCTCTGTATCCCTCTCTGCCCCTCCCCTACTTGCATGCAAGTGCTCTCCCTTGCTCTCAAAAATAAACTTAAAAAAAATTTTTTTAAATTCCTCTTTAAAAAAAATAACCAGTCCCACTTTCCTCAGATATAGAGTTGTCTCCCTTATCATTTCCAGTAGTCTTAATTACATTTATTTAAATTATTTATATTTATGAGAATACTCATAAGACTTCTTGAGGCATTAGACAAAGTTCTAATGTTTTTTTTTTCTTTTCTCAATGGAGAGAACATTAATTTATTTGACTTTAAGTAAGGACAGGCAGAATAAAAGTTTTACATTTAATGCTGATAACTCTAAAGACATGTCCATTTTTATTAAACCAATAACCTTGAATTAGCCTTAATACCAAATATTTTCCAAGATCATGTGAATTTAAAAAACGTCTGGGTTAGTTTCTATCTTTCTTTTAGAATGCCCAATTCTTATAAGTGCTAGCCTTTAAACCAATTAAATAGACCTCTTTTACAAATTAATTTCAGCAATAACATCTGGAGATAGAGAAAATATCTCAAATTTACAACATACATGGACACACACACGATGCCACGATGCAAACAAAATCTTAAAGGCCCAATTTCAAATATCCCCCTTTTACAACACAAATCTAATTGCAAGATGGTATTACAATTAATGCATGTGGCCAACAGTGTTGCAAAAAAAGACTGCCCAATTTTGGAGAATACAGTCCAAAAGGTTGCATGTGGGGATCAAATTGTCACTTTCCATTTTCCAGTTAGAACGTGGCTAGTTTTATTCAAAAATACCAAAATCTACAGCAACAAAAAAATACATGAAGCCCAGAGTACTTCTGTGAACATCAGTTCCTCCCCAAAAGCTGTGGTTTCACAGACTGAACCAAATGGCTCCCTAGTTTCTGGCTCCTCCCTAAAGATCAGAGCTTCACTGACTGAACCAAATGGCTTCCTAGTCAGCCTTTTCTTAAACAAGAAAGGAGGCTAAGAGAACCAAAACCCACTATTTGATGGCAACCAAATGGGAGTAAGAAATCTGAGAGCCGAACCAAAGGGAGAAAGAAAGAAACTCACATGCTGTCCATCACACACGAAGTAGTCACCAAGAGACATCTGTCCAAACTGAACCCAAAAAAACATTTCCTTGCCACAAGAGTGAAAATTAGGCACCAAAGGTCAGAGGTACCCAGGTAGGTGGGACCCCAGGGGCAGTTCCTAGAGCAAAGAACCTGTCACCTAGGCAGCTGCTTCAACCTGTCACGAGGCCCCCATCACCAGCTGGCGGCTAACAAACCATGCAGGGCCAGGCAAAAAAGTCTTGGCTAGCTTGCCAAATGTGTAACTGAACCCAGGTTTGGTTGCCCAACTTGCAGCAAAGACAATCACCAAGACATCAAGTATGCAGCCAGAAAAGGGTTTGCTTGAGAGGTAGCCAAACAAGGAGATGAAGGAGCAAGCCTCAAATCCACCTCTCCAAAGGAGGAGGGAAATTTGAAGGCAAATGGAAAAGGTCTGGAGGAAAAGTTGCAGCTGTGCTTATTAGCTTGCTGCTGTAATTAGTCCCATTAACCCTTTGGTTACCAGTAAGTTTTGAAATTCCAAATGATAATTCTGAAAACAACAAAATCTTGATTTAATTTAAAAAAATATATATGAATACAGGTTCATAGCAAAGCCTTCGTTGTAAGATATAAATCCAAATACAGCCTTTGCTTGACTTAACTAGCCATATAATTTCTGCAACCCTGGATTCATCATCTCCAAAATGGATCATGAGAATGAGAATTAAATGAGATAATATATGTAGAAAGCACTTAGCATACTGCATGTTATTGTGATGATGTTCCTTACATCTTAGTTTTCATAAATTATGATACATCCATAGAATTCTATTTCAACCATTTAAAATCAGGCAGTTCTAAATTGATTGATATGTAATGATCTCCAAGATATATTAAATGAAAAAAAAAGAAAGGTATCGAGGGGTGTGTATACGTTACCACTTCTATTTTGTTTTTTAAATACAGATGTTTATATGCATATATGTTTGTACATACACAGAATGTCTCTGGAAGGATACATAAGAAACTAGTATTAGAGGTTGCCTCTGGGGAGGAAAATTAAGTGGCTAAGCGATAGGGGTGGAATAGTCTTAACATTTTACCATATTCTTTTTTGTATCATTTGTTTTTATTACCTATTCCAAAATTAAAAATAATAAAGTTTATATTATGACCCAACCTTTATGCTACCAAAATATTTCATTATGTAGTAAATAGATTATGTGAAACTGCAAAAAACAAACAAAAAAAACCCTAAGGTGACTTAATCAGAGTTCTAGTATTAATTTCAACTCTATTGATGATAATAATGAAAGACTGATAAGGTTTTAACTAAATGAGCCAATGAGAGTTAACTGATTAAGACACAGAAGAAGGGGTGCTTGGAGATGAGAAAAAAATGGTATGTGGATGGAAGAGACAATAAGAATATCATTCATTCATTCATTCATTCAGAAAATATATCTTGCCCATCAGGTACTAAACACTGTGCTGAAGAAACAAGACACTTAGTCCTTGTTTTTAAGTGGCGCATAGTTTCATAAGAGTATATGAATATAAGCAGCAAAATCAGTATTCCTGGGACTCGGTTACTCACAGTATATGTTCATTCACTCCTGAACACTTAACAATTTGAATGAATGAATGAATGAATGAATGAGCAAGGCTGGTAACAAAATATACCCCACTAAGGCCTCTAGTGGCTTGAAAAGAACAAGAATTGATCACTCCATCTGCGAAAGCTTGCACATTTGTATTCCCAGAATCCTGAGAGCCAGCAGGGCCCTCAGAAGTCCGAGGTTTGACTTTTAGATCCAGGCCAGGGTCACCAGCCAGGAGAGTAGGTAAGGCGCAGGTGTAAGGGTCCTCAGCCCCCAATCCCACATTTGTATCCATTCAAGCCAGGCACTCCCACACCTGGGCTCACCAGGTAGGTGTTAACTCTCTGAAAGCCTGAAGGGAACAAACTCTAAGTTGACCTCTGAACTCAAAAATGTAAGTTGCTCTGGGTCAGTTTCCTCAGTGCTCAGGGCTCCTTCATGGGCAGCCAGCCAAAGACAAGAGAGGCTGAAACTCCTCTCCAGGGACCCTTAGCTCCGAAAACCGTGAAACCAGGAGGCAACTGGGAGAGATAAGAGGGTGACTGACCCGAGGCTTCCCCGGTCATATGCAGTCGGCTCGGGCTACTCATGGCACAGTCACTGACCTTTCCAAAAGGTGTTTCCAGGGGCGGTGGCCGGAGGGGCGAGAGCGGCAGCCCAGGCCCCGCACCCAACACATCTCCCTCTCAGCCGGCTCTGCACTAAGCGCAGTGTAACCAAGGGCGACCAGGAGGCCGCCATCTTGAGCTCTGTACAAAGGGAGGAAGAGGAAAACTTTATTGAAACCCAAAAGAGAAACGGTGGCACAGACAAACCAAGCCGTGCTCACAGAAGGCTACGCAGGAAAGAACGAAAGGAAGCAGAGGAAGAACGCGACCTCCGGTAGCAAGAGGACCGGCTAGACTCGGGTGCCCTTCCGTCCTTCCGGGCGCTGCCAGACAGACTACGACTCCCAGCATGCAATGCGGCAGCGCCGGGGGCGGAGCAGAGCGAGGGGAGGGACGGGCTTGGGGAGAAGGGCGATCCTGCGCCCAGAGCCTGCCCACGTCCGTGGCACTGGATCCTAAAATGTTTTCAGGGAATTGGAACGTGGAACGCGGTAGTGACGTACGGTCACGTCACCACCCCTGAGCATTTTTCGGTTTGCGTACCTGACCGAGATTTCGAACCCTAAATAAGATGTAGGTGACCCAGTGGGCACTCATGTTTTAATGAAATATTGATGTTTACCTGGTCACACCTCCCTAAATGGTAGCCCTAATTCCTTTGCCTCCAGCGTCCGACTCATCTTTGCCAGAGTACCTGAAATGAGCACCTTCCACTTTTTCTTCCTATATTTGAATACCATAAGTCATTTTCAATATGGCATACACTCAAATGTTTTTAAAGAGTGTATAACTGGCATAGGAAAGCCAACGGCCCAAGATGGACAATGAGTGGATGGAGTGGCCATGGGATAGTGTGTCCAAAGAGGAATTTCTCTTAAGTGATTGCCCTAATTTGATTAAACAAAAAATGTTTGAGTTATTATAAGTGTATTGAGAGTACAAATTCCTGTCCAGAAGAGGCTGGCAATCCATCAGCAGGGATGAAAAAAGGCAACAAAAGATTCTACCAGATGTTATGGAATCAATGAAAGGAGAACACTTAAGGAGAGCACTTTGGCTGGGAAATCAGGAGGGCGTTCTGGAAGCTTTACTTTTATCAAGAGATGAAGACCTTCCAAGAACAGGAAATAGAGTGAACCAAGGCAGGCAGGCAAGAAAGTATGAATTACAGGAAGGATAAAGCCACATTTCGATTGAGTGAAAATTAAAAAGACTACACTAGAAAGAGTTCCAGGAAGTCAAACAATTCATCCACAATAGAAGATTGCTAAGAAACAGGAAAAAGAGCACAGCATAGAATAATAATTTGGAAACTCTCTACTGTCAAATTGTTTATGGAAAAGTTATTTTGATTGTATCTTTCAAAACAAATTTTCACTTACTATTTGATATCTATCTTAAGTTGTATTGTCTGACATGACAAACTATTCCTCCATGCTATAGTGAATATTTCTTTTTTGCATTTAATACTATTAATTTGGAGTGTGACACTTTGTGAAAGATCTTTTGAAAAAAATCTATTCTTCCTTGATTTACATATTTATCACATTCAAGATTTTCAGAGAGTATCTGTGTGTCATTTTGTTTGCTCTGGAAAAATAGTTGCTTGCCTTAGTCAATGAAATTACTTTAAATTTTTTAAATAACTTTTTTTAACATTTATTTTTGAGAGAGAGAGAGAGAAAGCACAAGCAGGGGAGGGGCAGAGAGGGAGGGAAACATAGAATCTGAAGAAGGCACCAGGCTCTGAGCTGTTAGCACAGACACTGTGTTCGAACCCATGAACCATGAGATCATGACCTGGGCCAAAATTGGACACAACGGACTGAGTCACCCAGGTGCCCCTGAAATTACTTTTTATTAGAGATTCCAACAGCTTAACAATTATGGAAGTGAAATAAGCACTCGTAGACAGTTTAATGCCAAATTGGCGGGAATATCTACAGAAAATTTTCACATGGCTGTGCAAGTGAACAGAAACATAGCAAATAAACTTTATTGTGTGCCAGTATTGCGTGCCAGTATGAGGTAACTTAGATTACATCTGTTGTATTCAAGAGAATTCATTATGACCAGAAGAATAATTAAGTAGCCATTATAAACCATTTTATTAAAACATCAATCCTGTGCTCCTGCAGTTCCTGCAATTGCTAAAACAAATAAAAAAGCAAAAATAACCCTGAAAGAAATTCATTGAACATTATCAGAAAAAGTAATAGAAGGAAATCAGAAAATCAGAAAGCATTATTTTGTCCTTATTTTTAAAATCTCCCTAAAGAAAATGCCAAGTGGTGTTGGAATCTAATCTCATGGTCAAAACCAAACGGAAAGTACCCAGATGCCAAAGTAATGAAGGAAATGGGAAAGAAAGTAGTCAATAGACAACATACTATATAGAAGTCATAAATTATATTTGGGTTCTGATTTTGTCACTAAATTAAACTCTCCCTTTGTTTTCCTTATCTATAAAATTAAGATAATGTCTATCCTAGCTACCATCCAGAGGTTTTGTGAGAGTTAAATGAGATAATGTATATACATAAAGGGTTAATCATATACACTTATAAACAGAAACTGAAAGAGGATAAGGTCAAAATATAAAATAATGAGTCTAGGACAGCATGGATTCATGATATCCAAGAATTGTAAAAATAAGGAATGTACTCTTAAGCTTGCAAAAGGTAGGGAGAATTTTTTAAATAAATAGAAGAAAGTTCTACTGAACCTTAATACTTCAAGTAGCAAATTTATGAAACTCATTAAAAGCAAAAAAAAAAATCAGGATGATAATCCATAATAAATATGGGTGATTTGGAATATTTAGTTCTTCTCCAACTCTAATACACTATGATTTTTCATCCCTAAGTTCATGAGGTTGCCATTTTAGAGTGCCTTTTAGCCACTGTCAGAGACACACTGTAGAGGAACAGATATAATAAGCCATTGGCAGGAACTAGCTAGGATCCCAGTATAAATCTAACACTGTTATTATTGTTGTTCTAAAACCAATTCCTTTGAAGGAAGAGGATACCCTAATACATGATTCCCACTTCCACTATCCTATCTGTAGCCCTCTCCATCTCAGTAGATGGCAACTGGAAGGCTACTCATAAGAGAGTTATCCTCTTCCTCTCTCATCCCACATCCAGTCCAACAATGAATTTGTAGCTTCACCTTAGAAAGTGTTCAGAATCCCATTACTTTACACCATCAACATTGCTACCGCCATATTGGTCTAAGTCACCATCACCTCCCTCCTGGATTGCTGCAGTTACCTTCCAATTGGTCTCTTCACTTCCATTCTTGTCCCCTACAGTCCATCCTCCACACAGCAGCCAGATTTATGTTTTACTTTATTTTAAAGATTTTGTTTAGGGGCGCCTGGGTGGCTCAGTCAGTTAAGCGTCTGACTTCAGCTCAGGTCATGATCTCACCATTTGTGGGTTCGAGCCCTGAGTCGGGCTCTGTGCTGACAGCCCAGAGCCTGCAGCCTGCTTCGGATTCTGTGTCTCCCTCTTTCTCTGCCCCTCCCCTGCTCATGCGATTTCTCTCGTTTAAAAAAAAAAAGATTTTATTTTTTTAAGTAAACTCCTTACCCAACATGGGGTTTGAACTCACCACCACATGATCAAGAGTCACATGCTCTACCAACTGAACCAACCAGACTCCCCCAGATTTGTTTTTAAAATTTTAAGTTGAATCATGCCATTCTTGTGTTTAACATCCACTAGAATGCCTTCCCCTGTCACTCAATTGTTCAAACATCCTGCAAGACCTCATGACCTGGACCCCAACTGGCTTTGTGATCTCATCTCAAGCCCCTCTCCCTTACCCTCCTTCAGTCCATCCACATTGGCTTTCTTACTATTCCTGGAACTCACAAGCCTACTTATCACCCCAAAGCTTTTGCATTTCCTATGCCTTCTCCTGGAATGCTCTCCTCCCAGATATCTACTTGGTTCACTTCTTCATGTCCTTACTTCCTTATATCTTCTCAGTTAAGGCCTTCCCTAGTTACCTATATAAAATTACAGTCTCACCCTGCACTCCTTTTCCTCCTTCCCAGCTTTATTTTCTCCACAACAGTTACTCTCCTGGCATAATACACACTGTATAAATGTATTAGTTTATTATCTGCTCTTCTTAGAATTTAAGCTCCATGTGAACAGGAATTTATGTCTGTTTTGTTCACTGTTATATCCCCAAAGTTTAGGAGAGTACCTAGATTAGCAGACACTCAATGTTTGTTGAATGAATAAGCAGTCTTAATAAAAAACACAAAATTTATTGTTTTAGTCTCTGCAAAAAAACAAATAACCCGCTTCATGAAATCAGTTATACTCCTCATATTTTGAGCCCATTTTAAAGATTTATTAAAAACACCACCAAACTCAGTATCACAGAAGTAGAATACAAACAAAGAGCACTTATTTTCCACTTATTTATTTATTCGCTGATTTGTCATTACACATAGATCCTCATAATTACAGCTCCTCATAATTACAGGTTCTTCTAATTTGTAACAAAGAAATACTTCAGAGCTATAAGAAACACTATGATTCATTCAAAGACACATAAGGAATGATTTAAAACTATAATAACTCATTTTATAAAGTAGAATCAAATATCTAGCTTCTAAATTCCAACATTTGTATTTAAAAGATTCTGAACCAAGGGGTGCCTGGGTGGCTCAGTCAGTTGACCATCGGGCTCTTGATTTCCAGCTTGGGTGATGATCTTGCAGTTCACGGGTTTGAGCCCCATGTTGAGATTCTCTCTCTCTCCCTTTTTGCCCCCCCCCCATTCGCTTTCTCTCTCTCTCTCTCTCTCAAAATAAATAAACTTAAAAAAAAAAACACAAAGATTCTGAACCAAAAATATAATTTCAGGGGTGCCTGGGTGGCTCAGTCGATTAAGCTTCTGACTTCGGCTCAGGTCATGATCTTACGGCTTGTGGGTTCTTGCCCCACGTCGGGCTCTGTGCTTGCTGACAGCTCAGAGCCTGGAGCCTGCTTCGGATTCTGTCTCCCTCTCTGTCTCTGCCCCTCCCCCGCTCATGCTCACGCTCTCTCTCACGCTCTCTCTCTCTCCCTCCCTCTCTCTCTCAAAAATAAATAGACATTAAAAAAATTTTAAATATA